CGTGCGTGCGTGCATGCGTGCGTGCGTGCGTGCGTGCGTGCGTGCGTGCGTTGCGTGCGTGCGTGCGTGTGTGCGCGTGCGTGCGTGCGTGCGTGCGTGCGTGCGTGCGTGCGTGCGTGTGGTGTGTGTGTGTGTGTGTGTGTGTGTGTGTGTGTGTGTGTGTGTGTGTGTGTGTGTGTGTATGTATGTATGTATTTGTGTGTGTATGTATGTGTGTTTAAGTGTGTGTGTGTGCGTGTGTGTGTCTATGTATCTCTTTCTTAGTCTCAGTCTGTCTGTTTCTCTATCTCTCTATATCTCTCTCTGTTTCACTATTTCTCTGTCTCACTGTCTCTCTGTTTCGGATTCTCTCTATTTCTCTGTTTATTTGTCTCTCTTTATCACAGTGTTTTTCTTTCTCCCTGTCTTAGTTTCTTTGTCTGTCCATGACACTCATGTATGCACACGCATGCATACTCACGCACATGCACATGTGCGTGCGCACACACACACACACACACACACACACACACACACACACACACACACACAACACACACACACACACACACACACACACACACACACTCTCTCTCTCTCTCTCTCTCTCTCTCTCTCTCTCTCTCTCTCTCTCTCTCTCTCTCTCTCTCTCTCTCTCTCTCTCTCTCTCTCTCTCTCTCTCTCTCTCTCTCTGATATAAAAATATACATATAGGTAGAAGTAGGTAGATATAGAGATAAATACATATATAGATCTTTTCTTCTTCCTGCTTACTCCCTCCTCTCTCTCCCACCTCTCTCTCTCCCTCTTTTCTCCCCTCTCACTCCCACCTCTTTTCTTTCTTTTACTTCTCCCTTACCTCCTCTCCTTCGTATTTCTTTCCTCTTTCCCTCAGTTTAAAAAGAGAATAATAATAAGAAAAAAACTTTCAGTATCACATCTTTTAAGCCATCAAGAAACACCACAACAAATATTATTATGCTTCTATAATTATACAGAATTTTATTTCCTTTCTTTCAGGAGCCTTGGATTATTGCCCCACGCCTTGAAGTTAGTCCAGCGTCCCAATGAAGATATTCTCAATGGCTCCCTTAGTATACTGAGCATCTGCTGCACGAATGAGTATGCAAGACGGGAGGTAAGAATGTGGATTTCTCAGGATTTGTTTGCCGCAAGGTTGGAGTTTGCATGAACTCTTATAGAATATGTATACATATACATAAGAGAAAGAGACAGAGAAGGAGATACGCATTTAATAGTGATGTTTGTCTTTTGCAATACATTTACCTTTATGGATTTGCTTTTATTCTTTTAGAATCTGTTCCTAGTTTTGGCTCTAGACTTTGATTTTGCTTCATAGTGTTGGTATATAATGAGAGGTGGGGTATTTGGATCTGATTGGGCAATGTATGTTATGATTTTTTGTATATCCCTATGATGATGGGTCCTAAATTTTTTGTGATGTAATATTATGCAACAGTCTAGACTTTGTGGGCCTAAGCTGTGTACACCTAGCCCACCCACTGGAACTCATGACGCATATATACGTCATAGGCCATTGCATCATTATATCTATAGCTGTACCTGTCTCTGAAGTGTTAAATGCATTGATATAGGTGTATTGTAAGCCAATTGTCTTATATATATTATACAGTATTAGTATATGATTTTATAGGGTACTTAGACCAATACAAGGGATTATGAACTTATTGTTTGACATATGTAATGTAGGTACTGTGATTTGATTGTGCACTTATTATAATATAGTATAGTGTATCATGAGAGAGGCAGGCAGGCAGGCAGGCAGGCAGGCAGGCAGGCAGGCAGGCAGGCAGGCAGGCAGGCAGGCAGGCAGGCAGGCAGGGCAGGCAGGCAGGCAGGCAGGCAGGCAGGCAGGCAGGCAGGCAGGGCAGGCAGGCAGGCAGGCAGGCAGGCAAGGCAGGCAAACAGGCAAACAGGCAAACAAGCAGGCAGGCAGGCAGGCAGGCAGTCAGTCAGTCAGTCAGTCAGTCAAGCAGGCAAGCAGGGAGAGGGGGAGGGAGAGACAGAGAGACAAAAGCAGAGAAAGAGAGGGAATAAGGGACACATACACAGAGAGAGAGAGAGAGAGAGAGAGAGAGAGAATTATTTAAACAAATTTGTATAACCTGATAAATGCTGCTTATGCTTATTGCATAAAACCATTCAGTAGACCTACTAATATTTGCAATGAATACAATTTAACACTGGATTATACTCGCAAACTATCTGACAATGTATGTAGAAGTTTAAACAATTGTTTTATTCTTTATGATATCCAGATACCCATCTTTATATGCAATGTATATATCACACAAATTTTTCAACAGGTGTTTGAATTAGGGGGTGTAACACACCTTTTGAATGTCCTCAAGTGTGCCAAATCAGAGTCCCTTCAGCTGCGAGCCTGCCGGACAGTTGCCAATCAGGCGCAGCATCGGCCAAGCTGCGATGTATTGTTCAAGCTCAAGGCTTCAGACATGATCATCGATATGCTCAAGAATTGCAAAGAGGATGAAACCAAAATATCTGCAATAAGGGCTTTGAGGTCAGTATTATTATTGTTGTTTTGTTGTTAAGTTAGATAGTTACACCCCTTCCCATGATGAGTTGAAAATTCAACAAAATCAAATTGTAAGGATGAAAATGCAGAGGGAAAAAAATAATAGGAGAAACCTGGGAGTAAAGGAAGTAGTGCACATATTTTATGAAATAAAATAACCTTATTCATGTTGACAAATGTAGAAAAGGTATGAATGAGAATAAATATCTTCACAACAGGAGAGCTGTATTTAACTGGTTTCGAACATCTGTCTGACAAAGCTATATTCAAAACCAGTTAAATAAACCTCTTGTCTTGTGAAGATATCCATTCTCATTCACACCTGTTCTACGTCCAATAACCAGTTTTGTCAGAACATATTTGAGCAGTGATCAGAGTAGGGAAAAAGAAAATAAAAAGTTTACAATGATACTGTATCTGCATTAACCCTTTGTATGTGGGTATATGTACTGTCCACTGAATATTGTAGCAAACAGATGGCTCCACAAGTGCTCTCCCAGCAAGGAGTCAATTAGTAGCCCATTATGACCTTTCCTGATTTCCCCATTTCTTAATTTTTGGGGGGGATTTTGTTTATTAATTTTTTAATGCTATGAAAATTACCACTACTGTTATTATTATTATTAACAGTATGATTATTATATTGTAATGAAAATACCAATAGCAATGAGAAATACAAATCTTTTTGATAATAAGGGAAAGCTTAAATAGGTGAGGTAGATTGAACTAATAATTGACTCCTTTGTGGACCGCTGCTTCATGTGGTAATAGAACAGTGAATACCCATCATGGATTGGAAGTGGCATTTACATCGACCATCCCAAGCACAAACCTTAATAATTGTGATGATGATGAAATGTGACATTGTAATATCAAACTAGTTGGAAGGCATAACAAGACATTAGAGTTAACATTATGGTGAATATATAAAATGAAATTTAGTTATAATAGTTATATCAAACACAAAGAATATATAAAGGACTTAATTTTAGACAAAATAATAACCTTATAGAAAGGAATATAAATAATTTCTATTTCAGACAAAGAAATAATTGGAGAAATTCCTATTTCATCAATGGAGAAAACCTATATTACAACGAGAAACATAAAAATTACTTTCAGAATGTTAGCAAAATAACTCGGGAGAGCACTCACAGAAGATAGTTACAAGCAAAGGTATTCTGTACTTTTGCAAGGCAGGTTTTGATACAGCGGAAAAGCCACCTCAAATGTTAATTGCCTGAATCTCAAGAGCTTCCGTGAACTAGTCAAGCGAACGATTAGCTCACTTTCTAGAAGTGGTTCTGCACACCGCTTGTGAGGAGCCAGGTTAGTTTATTGACTGTTTTATGAATGTTAGTCCTTTTTTTGCTTTATTTTTTACTTTTTTGTTCTGTTCTTTTATTTTTCTTTTTTGACTTTTGTTATCTTTTTTTTATCCTATTCTCCTCCTCTGCCTGCTGCCCGTCATCCTACCTCCTCTCCGCTCCTGCCCCTTCTCCTCTTACCCTTCTTCCTCTTCATACTCTCCAACATCCTTTACCTTGCCTTCTTTCTCTTTTCCTCCTCTCCTCCCTCCTCCTCTCCTCCTCCCTCCTCCTCCTCCCTTTCCTCTCCCCTCCCCCTGCCCTCCCCTCCCCTCCTCCTTCTTCCTTTCCTCCTTCTCCTTTCCTCCTTCCTTCTTCCTCTCTCTCCTCCCTTCTCTCCTCCTCCTCCTCTCTTCTCCTCCTCCTTCCTCCGTCACTCCTGCTCCTGCTCCTGCTTCCTCCTCCTCAACCTTCGCTCCTCTTCCTCACCTCTTTCCTTTCCTACAATCTCCTTCCTCCTCTCCTCCTCCTTCCTTCCTCCTCCCTCTCTCCTTCCTCTCCTACCCTCTCTCCTCTCTCCTCCTCTCTCCTCCTTCCTCTCCTCCTCCTCTTCTCCTCCTTCTCCTCCACCTCCTCCTCCTTTCCTTTCTTCCATCTCTTCAGTTCTCTTCATTTTTTCCTCATTCATTTACCCTCCCCCTACAACCGCCCCCCTCTTTCTTGTACAACAACCACGTCATTCCCAGCCAAAGACTTTCAACAATGTAATCATGCCCTTTTTTTCCCCCAGATCATGGAGGGAACAGACAACATGATGACAGTCTCTAGGGTCCTCGAAGCCAACACCTCTGACCAGGAGATATATGAGGCAGTTATAAAGGCAATTGTCAACATTGTCCAGAGCTGCTTCGCTCCGTCACATCTCAGGCGAGAAGCACTGGATGCCCGGGTCTTGGACCGACTCTGCACCGCACAATTCCCCACCAAGATAGTGCTGGAGCTTCAAAATCGGAGGGTTCCTGGTTTAGGTGAGGGTTTAATGCACAGTTTCCAGGATGGCACTGTGATTTTAGTTTATCAGTTTAGTTTACACAGAAATGGCTCCACGAACGTTTAATCACCAAGAACTCGTTTGCTAATCCTACATGATCTCGCCTGTTTACCTTTTGACATGATTTTTTAATTTAAAAAAATTTATTGTTATTTTTATTAACATTAGAATAATTATATTACTAACAATTTATGATAATAATAGTAAGAATATCGGTAGAATTTAGAAAAAAAAAAAATTGCTACCAGTTGACTCCTTGCTCACTAAGCAGTGGTGGTACCTTTGTTCTTGTTATTGGTAGATGATGATGACGTAGTTTTTCATAGTATCTAGAAGAAATTTAAAGTGTAAAGAATGATAATATTGATGAACAAGGTGCCATATGTTACTCCTCATGTAGTGTATAAAAAAAACTGACAATACAAAGAAGATATGCAGAAACAAATACATTCAATAAATCAGAAAACACTTGAAGGTCTCACACTTTTGACGCTCTCCTTACAGACGATGAGAAACTCATCCTAACACTATGCAAGTTCTGCCAGGGGTCAAACGAATGCCACAACCTCGCACCCAATTCATTGTCGCAGCCACCAACATTTATGGGGCGGGCGTGGTTACAGCTCATAGACTGCGGAGGTGTGGCTATGCTGGTTGAACTCCTCGTGCGGCACCGTCACCACACTAAGCTCAGGCCAGCCATTTTGAAGGCAATTCTAGGGGTTGAGCATAATTATTCCTTCAGGGAGCCTGTGAGTTACTTGCTATTTGTACTGCATTCTTTGCATTTTTCTTGTTTTTTTTATTATTATTATTCAACACTTTCTTACTCTTTATTTTTATTCTCTATAAAATTTATTTTCTTTTTTATGTGAATTTGTTTATTGCATTTTCTTTTTTTTCTAGTTGCCTATTACCTTGTTCAATTATGTAAACATCTGTTTAGTCTTTTTTGATAAACAATTGACTGTGTGTTGAACAAACTCTAAAATATAAATCAAGCACTTATAAAAAGAGATAAACATTTTCATTTATTATTGCAGGTACTGAAGCACTTGCTTGCAGCACAAATCCTTCCACAGTTAGCAGAACAGTTTGATGAAGTCATGGCAGAGTATCGTAATGTTAGAAGGAAAGCACAACCCAACTCCTGTGTGCACACATTTCAGACAGATAATATATCCCAGGCAAATGAATTGGAAATCAATTCAGAAGTGAAAGATCCAGCAGAGGGATCAAATGGTGAGGAAAAGCAGACTGTATTTTCAAAAAATGACAGCAAGTTGAAAAGAAATGATTTCACAGAAAAGACAACAGGTTCAGAGTCAGATAATAATCAAATAAATGAATCAAAGTCAAAAGATTTGAGTGTAAAAAGTGAAAATGATTTTGACTCAGCAATAGCCAGAGGTGAAGTTGGAGGCAGTCCTCCAAAGGGAAATATATGCAAAGCCAGTTTCTCAGCTGTGAAGGGAAATGGAAAAGTTGTGCAAGATTATGCTACCTCAGGCATATCAGATGGGCATGGTGCATCTCATCCTCAAAGCCCAGGACTCCATAGCTTTCCACAGAGTCCTGGAAGTGTGTCATGTTCTCCTCACAGCCACTACTCCAGCTCCGGTCATGTCTCACCCACCTGGTCTCCTGCTCAGGAAAGTGCAGAGTCGCCCATCCCTCAGCAACCCCCCATCTCCTTCCAGCAGACCGTCAGTTCAAACCCAGGATTTCCAGTTGTGATGGACTCTCCTTGTCCTTCGTCTCATGGGTCTCCCTATGCATCACCTGTACCCCCCCCTCCCCCATCCATGTCTCCCATCCGAGTCCCATCGGACTGGGAATATGAAGATGAGGAAGATGTAGAACCTTTGGATGATACAGGGAGATTCTCACCTGTGATGCCCCACTTGAAAGCGAAGGAGATTGAGGACGAGGAAGAGTCTGAAATTGATGAGGATAGTCAGACGAGTCGAGAGTGCGAGAGCAGTGAAAAGGAAGATGTGCGGACTTTGGATGTTGAAGCAAGCAACGGTGAGCGTGAGAAAGTTGCAAGTAAGATGGAGAATGAGGAAGTGATTGGGGATATGGATAAGAAATTAGTTATAAGCTCAGGGAAGAGATTTCGAGAGGCTTCTAGTCCAAATGATTCAACCTCTCCTGATTGTAAGAAGTTGAAGTTAACCATTCTGCCACAGAAATCCGAATATCAGACTAATTTAGACAAAAGTGTGAGTGAAGATGATGAGTCTGCAGTTGTAGCTGAGAATAAAGACAGTTTTGCATCACCAGCTGAACCAGGAAAAGAGCAGAACAGCGAATCAAAATCCCCATTTATCAAGTTGAATCAGATAAAGTTTCGTGTTCGGAAAAAAGGCGTTGCAAGGCAGCATATTAACCTTGGAGGTGTTGGAGGAGTGATTGGTGGAGGTGGAGGAGAAAGCAGTGTTATACCAAATTCTAGTCCACTTCAGGTATGGTTTAAGGCATTTTAGATGATTATATATAGATTTTGAAATATGCACAGTTTGCAACTCAAACTTTTATTTGCATTTCTGTTCCTAATTGATGGAGCTTTGTCCATTGTTTTTTCCTAGTAAGGTATCAGATATTTCAGTTCTATAATCTTTTTCTTTCAGATCAATAAATTACTTTAGAGAAACTCACAATAAACCATAAATTTCCCACAGGAGGTAACAGGCAGTGAATTACGGAGTTCTATTCGGGAAAGAAGACCAAGCAGCGTCTCCTCCTTCTCAGCATATTCCGAATTGACGCAGGACGAAGCCAATGCGCTGGAGCTTTTGGAATTGTTAGTGAGGATCATTGGCCAAGTAAGTCATGTCTTCTGCAAAGTGAGGTGAAAGGGGGAACATATGGTGCCGATGCATTAAGAAAATGTAATGGGGAATAAGTAATAGATATTGTAGATCACAAGCTGCGTGGTAATGAAAACAGGAATATCTAAATGCTTTTGATTCTGATTAATAGAAAGTTGAGTAATCATTATCATCCTGTTGTATATTCAAGGAATCATTAACTCTGCTATGGATTTTACCATTTTTATGAACAGTGCATGCATGGCCTTTGAACGTTATGATTCATCTGCTTTTTCTCCACTTGTAGTTATTTCTTCTTATTCATTGTTTTTAATTGGGAAAGTTTATTAGATTAACCCATCAGATCCAGTTGCGTCATAGAAATCACAGTGCCGAAAATATGGGCATTGGGTTACATAAGTAGCACATCCTGGGCGAGCAGCGTGTAGGCCAGGTGCACATGAACACCCATGAGCGGTGACAAGAATCTGTGCCTCCCCTTTGCAAAGCTATTTTGTGTAAATTTTTTTAGCTCTTTTGCCATTTTCCAATGTCCATATATATCTTTTGATTTGCTTTATCCATATGGAAGAAGCTTATTTTCCTTACACAGACCCCATACCATCTCTCTATGTAGAAAATAGCGCAGAGCAAGAAAAAAGAAATATGGAACATTTGGTTAGGTTGTGTCATATATCTTTTTTCTTTGTAATTTTCAATTTTCCTTAACACAACCTGCACCGCTAGTCACAGCGGCCAGGAATACAGTGTGCAGCATGGAAATGGCATCCTCCCTAGAGCCAGTGCTCTTCCAGTCATGGCTCACGCACGTTTCATTCCATATTCGTTTATCAATGGGAATAATGCAAAAGCCCCCTTCTAAGCACCAAACGAGTCAGATCACACTCCAAGAGGTTTGTGCACTCGTCACCCTGGCCTTTGATTATGACGGCAAGTTCTCGTCACCCAGTCCTCAACCCAGATATTTCCATGAGGGGACCGTACATCATCTGCATCGTAGGGGTTAATTGTATACCAAAGTTTGTAAAATGTTGAAAAGGCATAGAAATTGTCTTTTGTGTCTCCTATCCCTGCATTATTTTTCTCTGCCTCTCATCTTCCTTTTCTCCTCACTTCTTTTCGCTCCTCTATCCTGTCTCTGTTATCCTCTCTTCCTCATTTTTCTCCCTCTTTCACTTTCTCCCTTTCCTTCTTTCACCCTCCATCTCTTTTCTACATCCATCCATCCTTCACTCCCTGAATCCCTTTATCCGTCGCCCAGTTCATTATTCACTGTTGTCTTGCTTTCAGGTAGCGCATGTGAAGGAAGCGATCCACAAAGTGTGCATGGAATTTGTGCCTCGAATTATGACCTACCTCTCCTCGGTGCAGGTTGTCCACAAGTCAGCTATGCGTATGCTGGTTACCATTGCCAAGTACGTCACAAAATGTTAGATACATTCCTAAGTCAAACCAAACAAGTTCTTAGATCTGTGTTTTGGTGGAAACCATTGGCAGTAAAAGTCAATAGATGTGAATTTTCTTGAGCATTGTTAAATAAGACATAAAATGATATGTTATACAGGTTACCATTCCCAATTAAGTCATTGAGTTTTTTTTCTGGTTATTACCATGGATGTGTAAGATGTTAGAGGTTATATATGATGATCCCCATTTTATTACATTTGAGTACTGCTATGGGAGTCATTAAGAATTGCATTTTTACAAGCAGTTGATAGATATATGTTAACTCCTGTTGCCATATGAGTTATTATCTTTTTCATTATGATTACTAAGTTGCTTGTTTGTTTATTCTACTTTGTGTGATGGAAGTCCTGTTATTTGCTTGTTTTTATTTTCATTGCTATTGAAAATACCTTTTAGAGGTGGTTGTATATCTTAAAACACATTCCCACACTGTATAACTGTTCATGAGTTCTCTTTCTGAAATTATAATAGATGAGACATTTGTTCTGATTGAAATATACTGTTTATTTTGGTCTGTAACTGGGAAGTAAGTAATTGGATATTAACTTACTTAGGATGTCTGTACTGACACATTGATCTTCGTGTACAGAAATTCTCTCTGCATCCAGCCACTCCTTGACACCCTGTTCATCCCATATGTGGGGGTGGAGCTGGGGGAGGCAGGTGACCCTGAATCCCCCAGTGGGTGTCAACAGTGCCGCATCATCTCAGAAGGGGCAGCAGCTTTCTTAGACCAGATGGTCAACTTCTTCAATCATGTCCACAAGTACGGTCACAGTGAAGCCATCAGCAGACTCCACCCGGCGAAAGACATTAGGGTTCGGGAAGGGTGTGTCATGGCTTTGCCGCATGTCACAAGGTGAGATGTGAGATTTAGCTTGGCTCTTCCCATCAAAAATGTGTTGATATATCTCTCTCTCTCTCCATAATCATAAAAACAGATATATGAATGATATGTTTTTCATTCTTTTTCACATTATAGAGCCCATATTTTTTATTAATGCCCATTTATACCTCACTGCCTCATTCTCTTCTTCTCCTCCTTCTTTCCTTCCTTCTCCTCTTCCTCTCTCCTCTCCTCCTCTCCTCTCCTCCTCCTCCTCCTCCTCCTCCTCCTCCTCCTCCTCCTCCTCCTCCTCCCCTCCTCCTCCTCCTCTCTCCTCCTCCTCCTGAATCAGCAATATTACTCAGTTAGAAACTTAAAGATGTTTTCAACCTAATTAGGTCAGCACAAATGACACATTAATGTGGATCAAGACCTGGTATTAACTAATTTTTTTTACAAAATCATCAGATGCCCAAAGCTTCTGCATGATTTCATGGTGTGCTATCCTGCCATGGAGTTGCTCATGGAAGTCCTGCGTTCGGAGAAGCCCCCCAATGATGCAAATTACATGTATGCAACAGCAGCTATATCAAGACTAGCAAGGACACTGCAGGTATGTGTTGAGCCTATTTTTTAAAATTCTTCTTCTTCTCCTTCTTCTTCTTCTTCTTCTTCTTCTTCTTCTTCTTCTTCTTCTTCTTCTTTCTTCTTCTTTCTTCTTCTTCTTCTTCTTCTTCTTCTTCTTCTTCTTCTTCTTCTTCTTCTTCTTCTTCTTCTTCTTCTTCTTCTTCTTCTTCTCCTTTCCTTTCTCCTCCTCCTCCTCCTCCTCCTCCTACTCCTACTCCTACTCCTAATACTCTACCTCCTACTTCTCCACCTTCTACTCCTTCACCCCCTAAGCCTCCTCCTCCTCCTCCTCCTCCTCCTCCTCCTCCTCCTCCTCCTCCTCCCTCCTCCTCCTCCTCCCCCCTCCTCCTCCTCCTCCTCCCCACTTCCACCTCCTCCTCTTCCTCCACTTCCACCTCCTCCACCCTCAGCACATACACTCCACCTCAGCACCTCCACCTTCACTGCCACCACCTCCACCTCCACTTCCTCCATTTTCACCTCCTCCACCTTCCCTAACCCTCCCCACCTCCACCTCCACCACCTCCCCTAAACCTCTTGCTCCACCTCCACATCTACACCACCTCCACTCCATCCCCACTCCTGTGCCTACCACCCCCACCTCCACCTTCCACCATGCCCCACTCTCCACCTCTCTTCCTTCCTGTTCCACCTCGCCACCTCCACCTCTCCACCCCTCCAGGCAGCTCTTCCTCCACCCCCACCTCCACCTCTTCCTCCACCCCACCTCCACTGTCCTCCACCCCCACCTCCATCCACCTCCACCTCTTCCTCCACCCCACCTCCACACCCCACCTCCACCTCCACCTAAACTTCTTCCTCCACCCTTGGCACCACCTCTACCTTCAGCACCTTCACCTTCACCTCTATTCCTCCTTTTCTTTTCTTTTTTTACCACTTCATCTGCATCTCCCCCCCTCTTTAACTTTTTATCCCAAAAATTAAGTATACCAGAGAAAATATTGATATTGTGTCAGACATAATAACAGTTTCAACCTGTTGTAACCTTATCAAGGATTTTGGTGATACCTGCCAGATTGAATTATTTTGACTATTGTTAAATGATGTCAAGAAATGGATTTGGGCCATCATCTCTCATTTTGATTTATACAAGAAAGCTTTCTTTACTAAAGTAATTACTTTTTAAAGTATGTTTATTATTTTTTATAGCCTGTAAGACACAGTTGTTACCAGTGACAAAGCCTTTGGGCCCATTTCAATCCATTGTTGCCAGGTAGCCATGTACACATGCAGTGTCTAGTGTAATTTTAAGTTATTAGTTTTGTTTACATATGGAAGTCCTGACCAGTGTTTTATTACTAAAGAGTCAGCTATTAGGCTTACCTTTCTCACCTGTTTCTTCTATTTCTTGAATGATCAGAAATCAAGGTTTTGTTTTATTACTGTTGGTATGATTGGCAATAATAATAATGGTCATAACAAGAATAATAGCATTGGAAACTATTACCTTTTTCAAAATAACTTAAGGAATAGGATAAACCAGTGTAGTCAGATAGGCCTAGGAATGGATTCTGTGATGACCACTGTATAGCCACCATGTGTAAAGAAAATTGACGAAAAAACATAGTGGACAGTGCTTACAACTGACACCAGAAATACCATGCTGTATTTCTGTGTAGTATTTTCTTTGCTCTCTGGTAATCTAGACAATGGTGAAGTTAAAAAATGCATATTACATTTGTATGAAAATGCTGGAAAAGATATAGAACAAAATAATGTATCATATTTCTACTTGGTCATTTGACATACATTCCCCACATAAACTTTAGACAATATGTAGGGAGCATTAGTCGTCACTAACACCTTGAATCCTGCTTGTGAACTCCAGAGACCCACAAAGCAAACTTCTAGGGTACTAAATGCTGTTTCAGAGGCATAAGCGAAACGATTATGTATGTGGTTTGTTTCTTTCCCATTTAATTTATTTGTAAGCTTTAAAATGCCTGGTTCATATATCCCAAATGAAGAAATGACTAGGATCTTCTTGGCCAGGAGGCAGGAGAAATTGGCAAATAGCTCATTGCTGATAGGGGTTTCAGATGTCATACTAGGCCACAGTAAATCTAACACAAAACTAAAGTTTTGTAGTAGATTTACATATGTTGAAAGAGGAATTATTCGGTTTGTCTTTCTGTTACTCTATTTTTATTATTGTTTAGTTCTCACTCATTCTCAACCAATGTTTTTTCCATTAGTGTACAGGATATATAGAATTAGTGACATTTGTACTTAATTTTAACTTTTCCTTTGTCTTCAACAGTTGGACAGGCAGGTGAGCCCTGTCAAGTGCTTAGTGTGCTTCCAAAGGGGCAACCACACTCCAGAGGAGGTTGCACAGCACTTCAAACTGCAGCAGAAGAACACCGCGACTCCTTATGAACCCCCCCAAAAGGAGGAGCAAGGAGGAATAACTCCCAGAGGCAGTGAATCATCACATACTGACCCACAAGACAAGTGCAAGTGGGCAAAAGAGAGTGTCCGGGATGTGACTTTCAAGCTGGAGGATGGCAGTACAGTGTCTGCCAGCCGGGAAATTCTAGCAGAGAAGAATGAAGTCCTGCGAAACATGCTCATGGGCTCGTTTGTTGAGGGGACCACCTCTTGCATCACACTATCTGACCGAAGCAGAGCCTCATATGAGATACTAATACACTTTCTCTACGGGTGCCGCTGTGATGTCCTGGACAGCGGTGATATCAAAACCTATATTGAGCTGGTTTTCTTGTCACAGATGTACATGCTGAATAGTCTGCAGACATTTGCAATGGCTAAGATGATTTCCTCCATCAAGGTTGGGAGGGACATCATTGGTATCTATGAAAGTGGGGTTGGGTTCATTGACGAGAACTTGATCCTGCAGGCACTCTGCACTGTTTTGGTGAAGCCAATGAAGACCTGGAAGAGAGCAAGATGGCTTAAAGAACTGTTTCAGTCAGAGCATGCCTGCGACATCGACCACAACATCCGCATGATTCTCCATCATCCTCTGGATCTGAATAGACTGATATGCAACTGTGATCAGTCCAAGTCTTTATATAGGATCAGTGAGAGCGAGTATACCAAGCTGTGTTAAGAATAATGTTGTGAAATTTATGCAGAATATTTATTGCCTAATTTTTTAGAGTTTGTAAAAAGTTTTATGCGGACCAAATTCAATTTGTTCAACACTGGCTTCCTGTGTATCCTATTGCTTCTTTTTGTTGTTGTTGTTGTTAACATACAAGTAAATGTGTGATAATAAAGTATCACATCTTGACTATTTATTCCATTGATTTAAAGAATCAATGCTGCTTCATGTTTATCTTCGATGAAGACCTTAGTCAGTAGTCATAAGCTCAAGTATTGGCATTTACTTGTGAATAAGTTGATACTTATATTGACCGAATCCTTGCTTTAAAATAGAATGTGGCATTTATTGTATGTAAGAAGGATTAGTTAGCTAATGTTGATGTGGTTGTTTTCAATTTTTTTGGGGGGAGGGGATGAGACAGAATTCTTTGTGGTTAGATATTCTTTACATAATACTTATGCTTTGATTTTAATTATATTTTCTGGTTTTGAAATAGTTTCACCGTCTGAATATGAATTATGATGGGCCTCTCTATAGCAGAACCAAAGCCAAATTATGTTTCAAATTTCAGATGCTTTTGTCATTTGGGGAAGTGTTTCAGTAGTACTTTTGTTTTTATGAATCTGAACTGTAATTATAAAACTGATACTTTATCATGATAGAATGGTAAGAAACATTTGCTTAACCATTTAGCCACCAGGCCCTAGTATGTTATTAGGTTTTATAAGAAATGCAGAAATCAAAACCTATGCAGAATATTAGAGATGTGTGTTGAAAGAAGCAGCTGCATGCTTGTACAGTGAACGAGTATAACCATTATACGAGGTTTCAGGAAAAGTAACCCTTGTTTTGGGGTATGAGCTATTGTTTTTACAACACCTTCTGTCAAATGTGTGTGCTTCCATTATGTCATAGAAACAGGAGGAAAGAGGTAGGGATAGGGAGGAGGAGAGGGAGTTGAAGAAGAGTCAGAACCAATATCCAACTGTAACTATACAGTAAGTATACTGTAGCAAAGAAAAGATATTGGAACCTATTACTTTTGTTAGTGATTTGTTATTAGATGCTCAGGGATCTAACATTAGGTAAGATCACACATCATTATTATTGTAACAATTTTTAAACTGTGGTTGAAGTGTTTGTAAGTTTTTATCAAACCAATTTTTAGCATTTTAAAAATGCTGTTGATCTCTCTCTCTCTCTCTCTCTCTCTCTCTCTCTCTCTCTCTCTCTCTCTCATCTCTCTCTCTCTCTCTCTCTCTCTCTCTCTCTCTCTCTCGTCTCTCTCTCTCTCTCTCTCTCTCTCTCTCTCTCTCTCTCTCTCTCTCTCTCTCTCTCTCTCTCTCTCTCTCTCTCTCTCTCTCTCTCTCTCTCTCTCTCTCTCTCTCTCTCTCTCTCTCTCTCTCTCTCTCTCTCTCTCTCCATTTATTGCATTATAATGAGAAATTATATTGAAATGTTCCCTAATTTGTTTTCTCTGAGAATTGTCTGGGAAAACATAATTCAGCAGAGGAAATTATTTTTTGTCCACAGACCCCTCTGAGGGATCTTCATTCTTTTGCAATTTTTGGTAGTTTCTCAAATACAATTATATTTGTTCTTTTCCCTGCTTTCCTGCTTTTTTGTGTGTTTTTTATTTCCTTTCTTAAATTTTCCTACAGTCACCATATGCTCAGTGTACATGTACTGAAGTTTGTAGAACCATGTAAGAACCAATGTGTTCAATCCTCAGCCTAGGAAAACTTTCAACGTTACCAATATAAATAAAGGTATACTTGTAAAATTCAATAAAAAGAACCTTAAAAAGAACCTTTAAAATTCCATTTTCTTTATATACCTTGTATTTTCTCTGTCAGCATCAAAATTGCTATAAAAGTGATAAATCCATCTGTGAAAAATTAGGCCCCTCATCAAGTACATAATCTAAGAAAATACATGCTGGTAAATCTGAGAAATTATGCTAGTAAACAAATGAATCGTGATAACTTCAAACAAAAATATCAAAGTGATCAAATGAAGGAAGCAGTGACAAGCAATAGTTGGTTATTTCACATGAGAAAAACAAATTACAGTCAGGTGCATCTAACTTGGTTCTGTTGTTCAGAGGGTTAACAAGACCAACAGCTCAGATAAAGAGAACCTAACATAAGTAAAATTCAGAGATGTTGACTGAATTTGTTACATTTGTTGAAAATCATAAGAGATGTAAATCTAATATAATGTTTACAAATCTGCAAGCAGTTGAGTTTTGGTTAATAAGAAATAAAGAAGGAATGAAATGTCTTCACTATTAGTTTTATGAGGCATCAGGCTACACTCCGGAATAACCTTAGTGAAAAGATAATACAGTCGTTTTGATGACTCTCCAGACCATATATTTAAATCAAATTAAAATGTATTTTTAATAAATCTAAAGTCAGATTAGGAGAAATAGAGAAAATTACTGAATCTAAAGTGAGAACAAACTAATTAAAAATCAATGATTTTTTTTATAGATAAATCTCTAGGATCACAAAGTGCAGTGGTCTTTCAGTATAACGGGTAGGAGAGTATGATTTTTTCATGGAAAGACTACTATTTGTGAGCCTAGAGTATGTAAAACGGAAGTGCATGAGTGAACACTTCAACATTGATTCCCGCTAATGAAATATGTAAAACGGACAATAACAGAGAATGAAATAAAATTAGTGAAACTAAAATGACAACAGTAGCTGAGGAACTCGGCAGTAAACCGTCACTATGTAAAACCAAGGAACTGACCGCTATAATATCAATAAAAGTAGAAAATAATATGCAACTGCTTTTTTTAAATCACCCTTATTACAGAGGAAATTAACAGTATATACGACACGAATAGTTAATGAAATTACACAGTGGTAAAACACTACCAAGTTATTATGTAATCTACTAACATAGAAAAAGGAACACACAACCTAGTTATATAAAATCTTAATTTGTAAATTGGGTTTTTATTCTATTATAGCGGTGATATTGACAGAGAAGAGAACATAAGAACATGAACATGAACCTATGTACTTAGTGCAAGGATCTTGGAGTGACTTTCGCTGAAGAAGAGGGGAAGGAAAAGGTTTTCTTACAGAGGGTAAACGATCTTTGGAAAAAAAAAAAAAAACTGGTGCCATGTTGAGAATAAAAATGCCGAAAGCACTCCTAAGATGTGTAATGCTAAAAGGAGCAAAATTGGCTACCAGTATTTCACTTAGAGAAAGAAAAGATATTTTCTTCAGCTTTGTCTAGAGAAGAAAGGACAAAGAACCTGCAATGGATATAATGATAAGAGGACGGTAGAGTGTTGGAAGACATAGGAAGACATGGAGAGACCTTCTAAATAAAGACTAAATAATAACAATACATGGACACCAAAAAATGAAGCGACAAAAATTACCTCACAATTCGGTGGGACAAATGCCGTATTATATAAAATACATCACTATATGTATTCTGAACTAGATAATACATACAAATGATTACAATTGCCTACATTTTACAAAGACGAAGAGAAAGCAAATAAATCATATATCTAGAATATTGAAATCTTGATAAAAATATAAGAGCAGTCAATGGAAGACGCCCCTAAGCACAGGGAAGAGCATGCTATCATTCTGGGATAACTGTTCAAAAATCTCGATTGAAAAAAAAATGTAATCAAAGTTTCTTAATTGATTGTCCAAGACCGTTTATTCGCGTTCCAAAATATTAGAACTCAGCGCAGTGTG